AGTCCCAGATAAGAAAGGAGAACACGGCTGGTGATGCCCCTCTAGCTCATGTTCTCAAGTGAAGATGCATGTTCCTTTACCCCTATGGCCATACTTCCCAAGTAGACTTTCACAATGACGGCGCAGCGCACCGAGCTATGCCGGGACAGTGCAATAGCACCTCTCAATGAACGACACCACAAATTACAGCCTATTTCATCAGCGCTGCCATGGTGACACGTGGCCGGCGTGTGCAGCCTCTGTCACGGTTTTGCCACAGGAAGGTGCGGCTCAGATGCCGTGAGACGTTCTGTTGTAACAACTTATTTCTGTTCTTCCTATGCCAGGCTGATGACCCACTTTCTGTGAAGGCTTCATATTGCATTTGAAGTCTGAAAGCCTGGATGAAATCTTAGTAACTGAGGTGCTAAGCAGTGGCCAGATCTGCCATGTTCCTCTACCTCAAATGGTTAGATCACTCATGGGGAAGGTGGAGAACTTCTATAAAGTTCATCATATGGAGTGGGAACATACAGAGGCATGACATATTTCCCAAGAGCTCAAACACTCCATTTCACTGGTTGGAGGAGCACTTCTGGGCCACCCAAGAGTGGCAGAACATAACCAACTCATTGCCCACACAGTTGTTAAGTGGCATAGTTACTGTAGGCGATAGACAGGAAAGTCATCAAAATATGCCTCTATTTTGAAGCTCGTTCTGCATTCATCATCATTAGCAGCGTGGTTTAAAGGTCAAAGCTGTCAGAGCAGAGTCTTAATTATGGAATGCTAGCTTGGTCGTAATGAGACAATAAGACTCAACGAATAAGACATGACACCAGCAGTTTCATAATGAGCACATTACTCCCTAATTAGCAATGGTCCCTTTTGTTCTCTTGCGCATTTCTCACCATCCCCATTTTAAGGCGATACTGGGCGCTAAGCTACTTACATCCTAAAAATACCTTTCATTTCCTGCATGTAAGGCGTAGCGTTTAATGAGAAATCACAAGCAAAGTCAACCCACCGCATCAGGAAGCCAAACTGCTGGATTATAACTATTAGGATGTGATGCAGTCTCAGAAGGAAACGGCTCTGTAACAAAGCAGACCTTTGGCACCAACTTCTAAGCAAACATTCTGTATGATCTTGGAAAAAAATAACTATTCACACATCTTGCCAGTTCCATTGTATTTCGGTGTGATTTTTCTAACTAATTTTTACCAACTTGTACAGATGCATAAATCACTAAAGCACTTCAGATTAATTACCGTGAAAGCTGTCTCTTTCACAGGTCTTATTTGT